ATACAATAAGTAACCTGTTATGTTCCATACAATAAATAATCTATTGTGTTCCATAAATAAGAAATTTGAAAATAACAAGTAAGATTTTTTAAATTTGATATTCATTAGTCATTTGTTCAATGCTCTTTTTGTACAAATGAAAAAAATCTACTTTTACTTTCTATATTTTCTATTTTCTTGATTTCTTTCGAACGAAATACTTTTACAGGGTAACTCGTTATTTATATTTCCGTACCTTGCTATCAGACAGCTAAATTAGTGTTAGAAGTAGACCTGAGATAAAAATAGATTTTAAATACTATATCTAGATGATATCATGTAAAGATAGCCAAGAAAGTTTTCTTCCAAATGCAATGAAACACATCGTATCAAAGCATGTAATTTATGACAGAAATCTGTCCAAGAAACAGGAAAACTTTCTTTAGCCATGAAATGAATAAAATAGTTACTTCTTTTTCATATCACAATATGTTTTTAATTCTTTCAAGCAGAATTTTATGCAGTAAAAAAAAACAAACAAACAGAAACACGAATGCACATTTTCAAAACTACTAAAAGTTTCCGTCATTTAAATGAAGACAAAAAGCAGTAAGATTTCTTAAAACGATGGAATTTCAATAGGGTTTGTTTATCGTTGAGCACAAATCTACACGATGGGCGATCTTTGCTGAGTATCGAAACTCGTTTTTGGAGGTGTGAGCCCTCAGATTTACCACTGAGCTAATGGAGAACTTTCAAGAGAGAGGTAATAATTAAATCGGTGATTGCTATCTTTATCCACCAGATGTCTAAAAGCGACCGATGAAGTGCAGTTGAGCGAGAGCTTGCCAGAGTAAACACAAATGAAAGTGCTACGTCTGGCGTCGTCTGTTTTGTATTTATTTAACCTGAATTTTATTACACAAAATTTCCGAACTGCATGAGCTATAACTTGTTCGAGGCTACACGAGTCTCCTGATTAATGGGATTCAAACTGTAATTTTTACCATCAGTGCGATAAATAATGGCTTGATTTTTGTGGCGGTGTATAAGCAAAAAACTTTTAACAATCTCACCGATTAAACGAAATACAAGAATATATAAATTTATTTCACTGTTACTGCTTGCGCACCAAGTGGTGACATATTTAACTGATGCGCACATAAGATACGTAAAACACTGGCAAAAAAATAAGTAAATAACGTTGAAAGATTAGCTAATGTATAAGTTCGTGGCGCACAAGACCGGTTAAATATGGTTTACATGCGCCATTTGATAGACAACAAATATAATGAAAAGCAAACACGTCAAATTTGTTAGAGTTTCTTTGAAGGTTATAGCTTGCTTTGTACTCAAAGTAATGATGCCCTTTGGAAATATTGCCTCTCATTAAATCTTTCTGTTAACAATTACATACATTAAATTTTATAAACATTTGTTAATAATTACAAAACTTAAGTTTCATAACTACCTGTTCAAATTACAAGGTTGTATGTTGCTGTCTGTTAACAATTGAATATCTTAAATTTTATAACTATCTCTTCATATATATCAAATACATATTGTTTATTTTATTAAGTCTATTTGTTAACCATTTTAAATTATAAAAACAATTATTGTTGCTTGATATTAAGTCTTATTATTAATAAATACAAACCTTAAATTGTATAATTATTTATTCACATTTCAACGGCTCGGCATGGCCAGGTGGTTGGGTGAGTTCGAATCCCAGTCCCACCAAACATGCTCGCTCTTTCAGCCGTGGTGGGCGTTATAATGTGACGATCAATCTCACTAAAAAGTGGTAAAAGTGTAGCCCAAAAGTTGGCGGTGGGTGGTGATGACTAGCTGCCTTCCATCTAGTCTTACACTGCTAGATTAAGGACGGCTAGCGCAGATAGCTCTCGTGTAGCTTTGCGCGAAATTCAAAAACAAACAAACACATTTCAACAACATTCATATTAAGTCTTTCTGTTAACAATTACAAACCCTAAATTGTTTAACTATGTGTTCATATATCAAATGCATATTGTTTCTTTCCACCAAATTTCTTCTTGACTTAAATTTTTGTGTTCAAATTCCAAAAATGCACTGTTACTTCTACTAAGTAAACAATTAAAAACCATAAGTTTTATAACTGTGTTTAATGAAAATGAGAGACATATTGTTGCCCAGTATTTACTCTTATTATTAACAATTACAAGCCTTATACTTTGTGTTCTGATTCCAAAACATACTGTTGCTTCTTGTTAAAAATTACAAAACTTAATTTTTTAACTGAAATGCTAAACCTAATTATCATTTCTTAACGTACATTTACTTGAAAAACATTTAGTCTTTGAATGAATCTTTGTGCACTGGTTTTTTTACTAATTTCTAAATACTGCATCTCAATTAATTAGAACGAGCTATTCTACTAGGAGTGACAAATGGTACTTTTCTGGAAATGAAATAAAGATAGTAATTGTCCTTTTTTTTCCTGTTACAGCTGCAGACGAGCCTCACGACGAGTAAGTAAACAGTCTTATTTACAATTTCTAATAATGTTTTTGTGGTGATTACTCTTCTAAAGACGTTTATTGTATCAATACTTCAAAATAAATTACTTTACGACACTACCCAATAATTAAAAATAAAATACTGTTCGTTTGATATTTTTCTGTACTTTACTTATTGTATAACAAATAGAGTCTAAAGCCGGTACTAAGTTAGTTTTATTTTTAGTTTGTGAATAATCTAATCTAATCTCGGTAATATTTTAAAAATAAGTTAACTTTGTATAGTTACAACTTGATACATAAACCCCTAAACGTTTTAGTAGATGTTTCAACGAGCTGTTTTTAGAATATCTGAAACAAAGATTTATCCGAAATTGATAACACCGGGGGGGGGGCATAAACCTCCCTCAGGCTTTTAACTGACCACGTAGCAAGGCTGACAACATACCCCCCCCCAAAAAAAAAACAGTAAAGATGTGGAGCTATGTGGGCTGTAAACCTCCCCCAAACTTTTAACTTACCACGTGACAGCGTAACATGTGGAACCACGGGGGCTGCAAACTTCCATCCAACTCTTAACTGACCACAATTGTCATTGAACAGTAAGATAAAGTAAGTGGCCTTTCAACTTAATTTGTGTTAATATTTTCTTTTTATATGTTTCGTGTATATAAAACGAAGAGTCTACTTTCAAAAAGGCTTCTGGATGAGTCAGGATACGAGTTCCAAAGAACAGTTGGCAATGGAGAAAGAACATTTATTTAGAAATCTCCTTAGTTTAATGCTTAACGGAAATACCAGAAATCTACCTAATGTTGTTTGTATTGCTGAAAAGTACGGGTATAAAAAGAACCTGCTGAACTAAGCAGTTACTCTTGGAAGAAGAGAGTATTACTCTGAGTCTGCAGCGCAACTGTATTTAGACACATAAAATTGGAAACCTTTCTCTCTTCTTTCGTTTCTGGCCTAATAGTTCCGGTTACGTTTACATTGATTGTAATTATAATTACTCATTAGAGGAAAATATTTATTATATTATTAGCAGATGCGGATTGGCCCACCGGGATATCGGGCAATTACATTTCACGCATTCTTAAAAATATACTTTAAATTTTATTTGTTTAGCCTGGCCCCCAGTGGCACAGCGGTATGTCTGCGGACTTACAACGCTAGAAACCGGGTTTCGATACCCGTGGTGGGCAGAGCACAGATAGCTTTGTGCATAATTAAAAACAAAAAAAAAAACAATTTGTTTAGCCAGTATGTAGCATGTTATACTACTCGGGCTGGCCTTTTAATGCCAATCTGCCCCGGATCATTAGGTTTATTCACTAAATTAAAATGTTTATCAATTATCAAGATAAATTTATTTCATTTGTAGACTAAAGGCTTTCATTAAAAGTTTATGGATCCGCTACTCTTTTTTATTTTTAATCTATTTCTGTTAAATAAAAATCGAAAGTTAATATTTTTGTTATCTGATCGACTTGATATATACTGAAAAATATAGTAAAGACCAGTTATAGGATGTATAACACATTATTTGGTGGAGCATGATATTGTTGCATATCTGCTTGTTTGTTAATTTCCGGTATAAATTCTTTCGGAGGAACTTCAGCGATACTAGTCCCTTCTTGATTAAAACTAGTTTATTCTTTCTCGATACAACAGTCAATACGTTTTCTCGTCACTTTAAACTTAACAACTTTTATAATACACGCTATAAATCACAGCGATTCACACACTTTATCTACCGTCACTACTGTTCGCTTCTTTAATTATCTATCCCACGCTGGTTTTCTTTGCTAGGCTTATATACTAAAAAAGGGGGCATCTCGAACACACTAGGGCTGCCGGGCAATATCATGATCATTCGAGAAATTCCAGCGCGCATGCTCCCAGCGCCACGTGACTTCCGCTGTCGTAACAATATTTACAAGTAATATTTGTGGGATGTGACATCACAATAAGACCATGCTAATTTAAGTTACG